CTGCTGAGATAGGTAGCACACATATCTAGTACTGGAGGCTTATCTCTGACCTCTCGATTGACCAGAGTGATTATGTTGGAAGGCCTTTAAATTTTAAAATTAATAAGAGATTTGGAATATGGATCATAGAGAAGGAGAGAGAAAACATAGTGCTGATTTGTCTGTCACTAACACTGGGTAGCTAAATTTTAAGGAAAGTTAATTTGAGAATTTTTTTTTTTTATTTCCTTTTTTTTTCTTTTTAATTCCACTTGTTCGTAGTATTATTTTCTAAGTAGTTATGTCATGCAAATTTCTAAAACCCAAAAGAATCCTGTAGCCATTTGCTGAGGTTATTTAGTGAACAAGCAACGCACAAGTGGTATAAAGGTTCAATCGACAATACTTACCTTAAACATGATATGAATTATGATGACTTCAAGCTTAGGTTTACAATTTGAAAAGGACACTCATAGAGTAAAAGAATAGTGATTAGCAGTCACAATTCTTTTTAGAATTGCAAACCACATGAACAGAGAAAAAAAAAAAAAACAAAACAGTTGCTACAGCCAATTACTACTAAGCTTTTGCGGACTAAATACTTTGGGATCATTTGAGACTGTGGTGATGTGATTCAGAAAAATGTGGACCAGTTTGGAAGATTTAGGAAGTCTGAAATACATTGTATAAATAAGACCTAAAACAAAATGATGGAAGTGTATATAACCTTTTCTTCTAGTCTGTATGTTTCTGTTCCCCCATGAAATACATACCTGAATGCCTGTAAAGCATCTATTGTATTAAATTCTTTCCTCCATTCATATTATGCTCAGGTAAATACCCATACTTCTTTCATAAGTCTGTTTTGTTTTGATTTGCCTGTTTTCACCATATGTGTTGTTTGAGTGTTTTGAGTTGTTAAAAGGCTTTTTTGAAAGCAGTCAGTCACCCTCTTTCACCTTTCTTGTTCTGCTGTCCCTCTGATTGTTCTGCACATTTTTGGCCACTCTGTGTTGTCCTTGCAGTTTCTCAGTCTCCTTCATCTAGATGTCATTCTGTATTTGCTCACTGTGTTTTATCAGAAGAAATGAGACATTTTGACAAGGTCACCATGTATGACATGTCAGAAATCATCCCAGACTGTATGGATATGAAGCTAATGTCTCACTGATTTTGCCTATTCGAATGGTAGAGAGGTTTCTCTTTATGTTTCTTGATAATTTGTAATTCAATAAGACCTGACCTGTCTTAATGTCCAGATTCAGACCTTCAAAAGTATGTCAGCCATATGTAGAGCATTAGTATTTCTGAGCAGGATTGTTCTTTCTTGCTGTGGGAGCTGATTCTCTGTCTTAAACACTCTTAAGGCAAGAGTCTTTCCCTTTATAGGAGGCCAGTACATTTGGGGGTTGGACTAGACCTTTAAAAGTCCCTTCCAACCCAAACTATTCTATGAATCTATTACGCTAGAAAAGTGACATTGACATACGTGGTCTTTGCTTCAGAAGGTTTGGGGATCTTTTAGATGCTCTGAAAGACCACTGAGCTCTCTGAAGAGAAGGAGGAAGACCTTAAATTTAGCTTCATCTTCTTCTTTGGAAAATAGTAAATGCCTTTGCAGCAATTGTGTCAGCAATTTAGCAGATACCTATGCCAGACCTTATAGGAGGGAGAAATTTTTTCACTTAAAACTGAGACAAAACCAGATCTCTCTCACTCACACTGTCTCACGTTTGCAAACACTAGAATGGATGTATGACTAAGGAGTCTGTCCAGCAGTCAGGCACCCACTCTGCTTCTTTCCAGATCCTAGGTCCAGGATCTGCTACAATGACATGGAGAGCATGGGACGCTAGCTGCCAAGTCTTCCTCGCATCTCCTTGGTTCTTCATAGGCTGGCAACTATTTTCAGGTTTTGGATAAGCCTTTTTTTAATCTTATGGAGCTGTCAACAGTCTTTCTGTCCTTCCCTACCTCTCTGAGTATCACTGTTCCCTGTTCTTGTCTTCAGGGTCTGGTTGTCTTGTGAAACAATACCACATGCCTGTGGTCTTGATGACCTGATAATCTGTGTGCCATCAGCATAGGCCAGTCTAAAATGCCTTTTCCTTCTGTGTCTTCTTGTGCCTCAGCACCGAAATATTCCCATTCGCTCTTCATTCACACCAATCTTAGCCTAGTTCTCTACAAAGATGCTGTAGGTGGTGATAGTAATTTCCTCATGAAATTAATATAATCAGGAGATACTCCCACTTAAGATACAAGACTTAAGAAGTCCTAACTACTTGCATTTCTATGGCACAACAGGGACTCTGCTTTTGAGTACTTAGTATTCCTGAATCACCAGAACTCAAATATATGATTGAAGTATTAATTGAACTAGAGATCTTTGTGCATGGATAGGAGCTAATTTTAGGAAATTTCATGGTGTTATAGAGCAATCTAACCCATGTAGACCTGGTTTTATTCAGCTGTAGCTGCTGCTATATAAACACTTCATATGAGCAACATTTGTAAGAGATTATGAACTATTGACAAAAGCAGCTATTTTAGGGTCATATATCTTAATAAGTATTGCATTGTGCAAACTCATAGTCTCCTAAGTGGAAGGAGACAGAAAACCATCAATATGCCTAGAATTACCTTTTTAATAGTACATGCTTCAGGGTAGTGGTAAAACCATTGTTCAGAATGCAGAGACATCAACTGGCACTGTTACCCCTGTAAAAAGAGTGAGAAAAAAAAATGTTTATGGATTATTTTGTGCACTGTCATCATATAAGTAGAGATCACAAAAAATAACACTTTATATAATTCTCACAATGGCATCATCAATACAATTTACATCACCAGTCTTTAAATCCACGGAGCCTGAGGATTTAGACATAAACGAACAAACTACATCACTGTAAAGAATTGTTCCATACCTTTTGACCCATCATGTGCCATCATATTTACACAGAACTGTAACAAAATAATTACCAAAGGAACATCTAGAGTGAAATGTGGCCTGATTACCCTAAGTAGTTACATTTTCTTGTTCTTTTATTAGATCACAATGATGAATTTTAAAGAAAAGTGTATCTGCTTAACCAGAAAGCTTATGTGTGATGATGAAAATGTATTTTTTTAACATCTGCAGATATGATTTGTTTCAAGTTTTCTACTGAAGTAGAGTTTTTAGAAGCATTTTATTTATAGATAAATGGAAATGCTTAATGGAAAAATGTAAATATAGTTGTCTACCCTATGACAGCTGTCCAGTGTTGAAAAAATATTAACTAAATGTCTCTGTAATATTTTATTTATCCTTCCCTGTTAACATGTAGAGCAAGTCTTTTAGTTTTGAGATTTGAAAAAAATAGAGTGGTTTAATTTTACGTGAGAATGTGTTTGTCTGAGTTCACTGTTATCTGATATGATGTCCAATTTTATGTATGAAAGCCCTGTTCTTTTCTTAAAAGCTTCAAACTCTCAAGACTGTTTTTTATATCCTGTTTTTAAATGGACATAATCAATATTCTGAAAGCACTTATTTACTGTGTTGCTTTTTAGGTGTTCGATTTATATCATGTGCTGTTAATTTAAATAAGTATGACATTTTTCCAGAAGGCTGAGTGCAAAATTACGTTTTTAGTCAACTATACTTGCACAACCAGTATGTGCATGGTGCTGTAGAATCAACTACTTTATTCAAATGTTCAGATGACTGGCAAAAAAATTATAGAATAATAGAATGGTTTGGGTTGGAAGGGACCCTAAACATCATCTAGTTCCAACCCCCTGCCACAGGCAGGGACACCTTCCACTAGCCCAGGTTGCTCAGAGCCCCGTCCAACCTGGCCTTGAACACTGCCAGGGAGGGGGCAGCCACAGCTTCTCTGGGCAACCTGTGCCAGTGTCTCACCACCCTCACGGTAAAGAATTTCTTCCTAATATCTAAGCTGAATCTACCCTCTTCCAGTTTAAAATTGTTACTCTGTCTCCTCTTGCTACACTCCTTGATAAAGAGTCCTTCCCTATCTTTCCTGTAGGCCACTTTAAGTACTGTAAGGCTGCTATAAGTGTTCCCAGGAGTCTTCTCTTCTCTAGGCAGAACATCCTGGACTCTCTCAGCCTGTCCTCATAGGAGAGGTGTTCCAGCCCCCTGATCATCTTCATGGCTCTTTGCTGGACCCGCTCAAGCAGGTCCATGTCCTTCTAATGTTGGGGGCCCCAGAGCTGGACATAGTACTGCAGATGGGTTCTCATGAGAGCAGAGTAGAAGTGAGGATCACTTCCCTCGACCTGCTAGCCACACTTCTCTTGATGAAGCCCAGGATATGGTTGGCTCATAGTCAGTTTTCTACCCGCTAATATCCCCAAGTCCTCCTCTGCAGGGCTGCTCTCAATCCACTCACTGCTCAGCCTGTATTTGTGGATGGGATTGCTTTGACCCATGTGCAGGACCTTGCACTAGAGCTTTTTGAACCTCATGAGGTTTGCACAGGCCCACCTCTCAAGCCTGCATGACAAGCCTCTGGCACGTCGACTGCAACACAGCTTGGTGTTGCTGGCAAACTTGCTGAGGGTGCACTCAATCCCACTGTCCATATCACCAACAAAGATGTTAAACAGTACTAATTGTCATTTTAGACAACATCAGTAAGATCAACAATTTAATGTACTCATTAAGACTGTATGCATGTGTACTGGCATCATTTCCGACAGGTAACTTCATCTTTACAAATCTAGAACACCAGCAATAGCGGTGTTCACAACGTATCAATGAAGTTGTGGAATCTTCATTTTGTGAGCACTGAAAGACAAGTTTCTCAGAATCACATGAAGCTGCAAACAACAGGTTATGGTTTTAAGGTCTGTTAACATAGTCTTACCCTGTATCAGAAAAGTCAGGAAAATTGACATTATTATGTGTTCCTCAGCAACAGCATTATAACACAGCATAATCCCATCATAAACAAAAACTCTTGCTGACTCCATTGTGCAGTTTTAGTAATCCGCTGGGTTTTTTTCCACAGGAGTGTGGTTGTACCAGTAAAGAAACCCCCTCCAGGTAGTCTGGCTGTTACCACAGTTGGAGCTGCCACTGCTGGGAGTGGACTACCACCGGGTAGTACACCTAATATATTTGCTGCAACAGGAGCTACACCAAAAAGTATGATTAATACAACAGGTATTGTCCTTAAATATTTTTGTGACCCCCATTTTTTCTTGTTTGTTTTTTTGTTTTGTTACTTTTAGTGGTGTTTTGGTTTCTGATCATCTTTTTTGTTACTGTTTTTGTACTTCTAAAATAAAAACCTGGAAAGTTTAAATCTTGGCCATTACTAGAGCCAGTGTTTTCTTTTAGGGTATGTTTATAGTATTTGATAGTGCACATTGGACTTGCACAGCCTTAAGTAAGTGAATAAATAGCCTTCATACTGTTTTATAAGTGTAGAGTTGAAATGAGCTAATTTCCCCAGTGCTCTGCGGTAGAGGATGTATATATGATCTATAGCAGTTAATCCCTCCTTATGCATCAAATAAAGACAACTAACTTTAATAAATAACTTAGATTGTGGAGGGTTAATATTTTTGGCAATTAATATTTGTCAATGAAAATTATGCTATGATTTTTTGAAGGTTTTTCAATACGAACCTATCTAATTTAACCGTAGTCATGTTTTATCAGTAGTTGTTTGTTACGACCTATAGAGGGAGAAGACCTTCTTTTTTTTTAATTAATTGTAATAGTAATAATGGGATGGGCTATCATGAAAGGAGCCTGTTGACCATGGAGACTGTGGTTTCCATTCAGAAATGAATCCTTACTGAGAGCAACTGTTGTTTACTTGAACTTTGAAATGTCTGGCTATGGTCTGTTTTCTTTCTAAACTAAGCAAAAGCACTTGAGAATGAGCTCTCTTCAAGGATATCACAACTTCAGTCAAGGGCTGAGAAAGTGAAAATCTCCCTGGGGTTACAGAAAATGGAAGGGGAAGCTTTTGGCATCCTTCTGATTCATGGAATAATATGAAGACACACTCATTTTTTTTTCTTTCCTTTTGCAGATTACCTTTAATACCTGGTAATAGAACTTTGATTTTTCTAAGAATAACTAAAAAAAAAAAAAAAAATCTTAAAATCTAATTATCCTGAGGCAGATGGGAGGAATGAATGCTCTGAATAATGTTATCACTTCTATGAACAGTTCCATTTGTGTAGCCATTTCTGTTAATCTTGAATGGATTTCCTTTTAGGTACTCTTATGTCATGCAAAAAATATCCTACATTGGAAACCTTGTTTTCCAAATGATACTGAATAGTGTAAGCTTTTCAGTCTTCTCACTGATTAAAGATCTGAACTGTTTTGGCTGGAATGTAGTAGCTCTTCTTTGTAAGTAATTACATTTAAAAATCAGTCATTTCCCCAATACTGTTCTTAGTAGAGGACAGTATTGCAGATACCATGGTACACTCACTGTGGATTAAAGACTGCTTTTTTTTTTTTTTGTAGATTTTACAGCTTTTTTTTTTTTTTTTTTTTAATGCAACTGTTTTTGTCTGCTAGTCTATGGATTAGCTTGATTAAAGGAAAGGTATTGATTCAATAGAATTTCAGCAAGTATCAGATTTAATTAGAACTGTATGTGTACTGAACTTCTTTAGTAAAGCCTTTTATGCCTGAATTCATCTGAAAGGCTTTATTGATGAAATCTCTTAAGAAATAGTTTGAAAAGTCCTTTCCCCCAACCTTTTTTTAAAGACTTGAATTTTATACTGACATCTTAGAAATGACAGTAAAAAAAAAGTAGCATCACATTGAAAATATAAACATCTATTAGATTAAAATATTAATTTTGCCTTTTTAATTAAGTTATGCCTACAGTGGTTAAAACAGTGATCATGTATGTTAGTTTTTGAGATATATACATGAAGTATCCAGATACTTTCTGGTTTATATACTTGTAGTCTGTGAAATTATCTATGTTATTAATGATTTTAAATGAGTGTATAGAGTTTCATTGAACAGAACTTCTTTTCTTTTAATATAGTAAAAAAGATACAGTATACATTTTTTTTAGAAACACTAGATGTCCCCCCAAACCTATTTACAGTTGTTTTTACAGTATGTCACAGATACTTTAGAAATATAGTTTTATCTTTGAGTTCTATTCTGTGCTGGACTTGTGAAAAAAGGTGTTTTTTTCAGTTATTCATGGGTTGCAGTCAGTGTTTACATTCCATCTGCCATCGCTGTCATAGTCAATGTCACTGTCATGTAATGAGATGTATGTTCCTGAAGTCCTTTCGGTGCTTTGAATGTATCTTTTGGGAGATAGGTTTTCTTCCTTCATCTTTTTATGTAAGAAACCTATAAAGGTTTTTAGACTGGATATCTGTAATTCATACCCTGATTTTCACCTCTGTGTTAATCCAGTAGTTCTAGGTTTGTTTGACCTTCTCTTCTGGGAGCCTAGCTGGTTAAACAACTTAGCAACTGCATAGTTAAACAACCTTAATGAAGAAAATTTTACTTTGGAAGAAAAAGGGAAGAAGCAATAAAAATGTGTTACCTATGTATATATGAATATAGATATGTAAATAATATAAATACACATGCGTGCACACGCACACACACACACACACACATATGAAACCTTAATCTTTTTTAAGCTACCCTGTTCCCAGCTAAGTTGCTGTGATTCCTATGTTGGGAAAGATAGCCTGCCTTACATTTTTGTGTTTCCTTCTCAGCGTGTTTGGGTATATTTACTATTTGTATTTAGTCCAAGTCAGAACCCATAGAGTAAGCTGCAATGCACCTCTCAGTTGCATTATTAAAACAACAGACTAAATGAGTTCCTAATCTAAATCCTGAACCTCACTACCTACTCTGGTGTCAGCAAACCCAGCAAATCTTTCTGCATTTTGATACTGTTTGAATGTAAAATTTCTTAAATGAGCCAGTCAAAATTCTGATGCTTACCTTAATTCTGTTATCAGTAAAAATTATTTAAAGGCATATTAAAAAAAAAAAAAAAAAAAAAAAAAAAAAAAAAAAATCATCCCTGCTGCCAGAGAATTTTTCATCGTTACCATCATTGACCTCTACTTCGCTGTCAGCTGGCTGCTTAAGCAGTTAAGAAAAATGCTTTGTAGAGCTTTGCATGAAACTGAAAAACAATACATACCTGTGTAATGCAAAGGACTGTCATGTATCAGCTGCTAAATCTGACCAGCTACAGGGAGTTACCAGTTATCCTTTTAAAAAATTGTCAGAGTAATGCCATTGATCTCTAAACTGGGGTTCTCCACCCCTCATGGCTAACTGGGTAAATCTGGCCTGTCACCCTCATCTCTGGTAACACTGCAGTCCCTTAGGCTTTGAACTTCAACAAGACCATTCCTTGCTACCTCTCTTGGAGTGACGTGTTGCACAAGGGCTATGCAGCACAACAGGGACAGCGTTTATCACAGTGCTCTCACTACTGTTCATGGCCAGATAGCCTTTGCTAGTTTGCTTCAGAGAGGCTGAGCTCACGGTGCTATTTCAGCAAACATGATAGATTGGCATTTAGAGTCTAAGTTTAGCCCTTAGCTCTGACCCAGATCACTTAAAGTATTAATGTATGCTCTGTCTGCATCTTTTTTTTCTGGGCAGCTGTTCACAACCCATTGAAATGATACCCTGCCTGCCCTCACTACTTTTAAGATCTTAAAATTCTCCATGACTCAAGGAAGGAAACAGAAAAACTATAATTAGAGGCTTAATACTCTACAGACACTGGTTTTCCCCCATTACTTCCTGAAAGAATATACGTTTTTCTATCTTCTCTGTCATTTTTAAATTTGTATTTTATTTTCTGCCTGTAGTTGCAACTGGGCAGCCAAGAAGTTTGTGTGTATATATATTTAAAAAAAAAATAGTTAAACTTCTATTCTCCACTCAAGCTCCTCTTAAATATACCTTTATTTTAGAAAGATCTTGCTTTACAGGATGATGTAAAAATGTTTTCATCTTTGGAATATAATTTGGGAATAATGAAAATGAGGTAAGGATTTATTTTGCCTGATTTTCAATAGCTTTTTAAGCTTTTTATTTTTACACTAGCAAAATAAGGTATTAATTTATATGATATTAATAAGGAATTGTTTTAATTGTTTTAGAATAAATAATATTATTTCCTTACTTAAAAGTAGATGAATAAGACAAGGACTGTATTAAAAGTCTCTAAAAGTTCTGTTTCTTCAAACTGAATTAAGACCTGTATTTTTTGGGGGACAGGTGCAGTAGACTCAGGATCATCTTCTTCCTCTTCGTCATCCAGCTTTGTAAATGGTGCTACCAGCAAAAATCTCCCAGCTGTCCAAACTGTTGCTCCAATGCCAGAGGATTCAGCTGAAAACATGAGGTACACAGGTTCTATTTTTTAATATTAATTACCATTCCTCCTCCCACAATAACTTCATACATCAAAATAGTGTAAAAAGAAAAATATATTAAGAATTATTTTAGTTCATTTAAATGCATTGTTATAGTTATTCATATAATACAGTGTATATTTATATATTTTTTTGGTACTAAGAATGTATATACTAAAATAATACTTCATTGAAATGTCTGACTTGTTGAAACTATGCCAGACATTAAAGTTTCGTTAAAATTAATTTTTTAGTTGATGGGATTTTTACATTGCTCCACAATCATCATAGGAATTGGAACACAAGCACAATTTAGCAATGAAGCACCTAGCAAGTGGAAAGAGAGTCATAACCTCTTCTGAGCAAATGAAAGCCCTATTTAAGCTGGAGAGGATGAAACCAGACATGTATGCATGCAGCTAGTAAATGGTGCACCATATTTGAGTTGGTGTTGCGAGAGACACATGCCATGGGATAGCTAATACCTCTCTTACACTGACTGGCAGCCAGGAAAATGTCCTCAGAAATTCCTATTAAATATTTTTGTATAATAGGTACCTTCACCCTTTGTAAAGGTGTTCAGTTGTGCCTCAGGACACTCCAAAGACAAATTTTTGACCTTTTCAAGGTAAACACTCGTCTGCCCTAAAAAGCTGACACAGGATATACTAAGGAGTTGCCAAGTGTCCCTTAGTTGGCCATCCACTTCAAGGTATGGTTTTAAGATAGTGGGAGTGGAGGCAGCAACCAGGCTCATAAACAAGAGGATTTAATTTCCTTACAAACTAGAAAGGAAATAAACTTAAGTCAATGGACCTGGGTAACCTGTAAAAAAAAGTGTTGGTGCTTCAGTGATTTAACACAGCATGCAAAAAAAGCCTTTTTTTGCTAGTCCTATCTGAAGTCTCAGGTGAGTGGTGCAGGTGCAATGGGTTCATGCCCAGGCTGAAAGTGAGGGCTGTTGGCGCTACTCCAAAAAGGTGCAAATGGTCAAGGAGAGAAGGTGTGGCATATTTAAGCTACTCTTTTACTTCTTGTCTTCTTCATATGTTAGGAGAGTGCTTTGCTAAGGGTGGGATCTTTCTTCAAATTTGGATGCAGAAGTATGTTAAAAATTAAACTGGATCACCAATTCATTTGTTTTTCACTTATTTTAACCAATGCAATATTCTTGGTTTTTTCACAAACATTTTGAAAGTTTTGGTCCTGATGTCAAAGAAAAACTAATGTTGCAAAATCTGGAATTCAAATTTTGATTTCAGAATTTGAACTCAGAAGTAGTTGTACTCTGAGTAGTAACTGAAATTAGTGGCTGAAAAATGTGGTTATGTGGAGCACAGTATCAGAAATGTCGATAATTTAAAATCTAATCAACCTAAGAAATGTCTTTTGGGCTTTTTTTTCATTCTTGTACCCTCCTCCCAAGAAACAACTAAAACTTTTTTAATTTTGATAATAGATAATTTTTGGTTTTATCACTTCAAATTCATTGTGCTTCAGCTTTTATGAGGTTAAAAATCAGAGTTGCTTGTGAGATCGGAGAGGATGAAGTGAAAGCTAACTTATCCAAGCCTTCACTTGTAGCAGCTACATTTGAAAACAGGTGTAGACTGAGCAGAGGGAAAGTCTGAGTCTTATGGCTGTAGACTGAGCCAGAGAATGATCTTGGACTTTTAGACATTTAATCATTAATTTGGAGGTAGAAGTTTGGCCTGGAATGAGGGTGGGAAGGTAGCATACTTGGAACTGGGACAGTGTGTGCCACTCTGTCTTGTGACCAATTCAAGGAGTAAGTGGTACTGTCACAGGAGTATTTGGGTTTTTTTGCTCACAGTTTTAAAAGTATTTCTTTTAGTCTGATGTTGTTACTGTGCTCCTTCAGTCTTTCCTGTCCCGGTTTATCACATTTATAAACACAGAAAATGTATATAATGTATATAATATATATAATTTGGTGTGTATTTTCTTCAATATGCAGAATAAATAATCTTGAATTTGAAAGCCATTAAGAATTTATTTTCCTTGAATGTCTACAAATGGAAAGGAAAAAACACAGTATTCATTCTTTAAAAAACAAAACAAAACAACACAAACCTAAAACCTCTGACTTCACTCATGAAAACTCATTACATTAATCCCACAAGGAGTTCCCTAATGATTGCAGGATGCACTATAAGGTATCATGGATGTTAGAAGCAACTGTAGAATCAGATCAGTGTCTCTTTTGCTGCTGTTTGTGCATGTATGTGGACAAGAAAGGCAGTGGATGGGCTACCTGCTTCCCTAATGCATTTTTGAGGATGTCTCTATGTATGCTTTTTTTCTTAGTTCTGTTTGTTCTTTCTGAAACTGAAGGACAATTCCAGTCAGTTTTCAACAGATAAATTCACCAGAGATTTATATGAAGTAAAATGGATTATTTTTCTTCTTTTTTTTTTTTTTTTCTCAATTTAAATATTAATTCCAGTCCTTTGATGTGCTTTTTTAAACAGTGCTAAACTTGGATTTCACGTTTTCACAGTATACTATTCCCATTGCCCATAATCTATAATATACAAGATCTATCAGGTATCCATTTGATAACAAGGTGTTTATTAATAGCTTATGCAAGGTGTTGATTAATAGTACATCCACACCTCCTGTATTACTTAATTCTTAAATAAAAATTGATCTTAATTTAAAAATTTTTGAACTTGTAATTTTTTCAATTGTATATAGATTTCAGAGTTCAGTGAACTCTAAAATTAGGTCTTTTAAACCAATTTACAGTGAAAGCATATTTTAAAACATGGTTTAGGAAAGTCTGGATTAATCTAGTAGGCTTTTTATCTCTAGCAGCAAAACCTTGGGTTAGGTTCATGTTGCAAATTATCAACTCTAAGCTAGTTGTCTCTGTTTCAAGTAGTCAATAGAGGCTTTACCACAGTGAAATTCATTTCAGCTAATAATCTAAAAAAAATGCTGGTGATATGAATCCATCCTTTAGAATATTAGAAAATCAATATATGAGTTTGAAATGGGAAAGCAGCACATTAAAAGGAAATAAGCTATAGGAAGACAGTAAAATGATTTTAAGCTAATGAGGAAAACTTCCATTTTGTTTATAATGTCACCTTTCTTTTTAAAGGTAGGGATCTTCATGTGACCTGAATTTAAAAGTCAACATTTAATTAGTGTTTATAGATAGTAGATACAATGTAAAATTTAAATGTCAGTGTTCGTTCTCTTAGATTCTATCAATACAGGTAACTTCTTCCTATAATTGTGCTTTTAAATACTAAGAATATTTTGGTGCCATAATTCAAGCACAAAGAAAACCCCCCCAGCCACCATCAGCCAAAACCAGCAAAAATTCTTGGCAGATCAGAATATCTATATAATTTCATTTCTATTTTTAAGTAATATTTCAAAACTTTAAGATAACACTGTAGGTTTTTAATCTTGGTTAAAAATTTTCAAAGGGCACAAGTGTTATGCCCTGTCAAGTTTTAAAAGGGAAGAAGGACTAAGGGATACAGTCCTTAGCACACTCTGAGCTTTGCATTCTATTGCCAGGTTTGTATCCTCAGGCAAAGGAATATTATTTCTGGTATTTAAGAATCAAACAGAAGTCGCAACACCTCTTCTCATTGTACAAGTAGAAATTAAAGAGCACTTCATGCTTCAAAGAGTGTATATTGCAGATGACCCCAAGTTGGGTGGGAGTGTTGATCTGCTCGAGGGCAGGGAGGCTCTGCAGAGAGACCTGGACAGGCTGGAGCCATGGGCTGAGGCCAACTGGGGGAGTTTCCATAAGGGCAAATGCCGGGGGCTGCCCTTGGGCCACAACAACCCCCAGCAGCGCTACAGGCTTGGGGAGGAGTGGCTGGAGAGCTGCCAGTCAGAGAGGGACCTGGGGAGGTTGATTGACAGCTGGCTGAACAGGAGCCAGCAGTGTGCCCAGGGGGCCAAGAAGGCCAATGGCATCCTGGCTTGTGTCAGCAATAGCGTGGCCAGCAGGGACAGGGAAGGGATCTGACCCCTGTACTCGGCACTGGTGAGGCTGCACCTCGATTCCTGTGTTCAGTTTTGGGCCCCTCACTACAAAAAGGACATTGAATGACTCCAGCGTGTCCAGAGAAGGGCAACGGAGCTGGTGCAGGGTCTGGAGCACAGGTCGTACGGGGAGTGGCTGAGGGAACTGGGGGTGTTTAGTCTGGAGAAGAGGAGGCTGAGGGGAGACCTCATCGCCCTCTACAGCTCCCTGAAAGGAGGGTGCAGAGAGCTGGGGATGAGTCTCTTTAACCAAGTAACAAGTGATAGGACAAGAGGGAATGGCCTCAAGTTGCACCAGGGAAGGTTTAGACTAGATATTAGGAAACATTTCTTTCCAGAAGGGGTTGTTAGGCGTTGGAATGGGCTGCCCAAGGGAGGTGGTGGAGTCCCCATCCCTGGAGGTGTTTAAGAGTTGGGTTGACTTAGTGCTGAGGGATATGGTGTAGTTGGGAACTGTCAGTGTTAGGTTAATGTTTGGACTGGATGATTTTCAAGGTGTTTTCCAACCGTGATGATTCTGTGATTCTGTAATAGTCTCAGCAGTCAACGAAGTGTAAATGCAAAAGTGAAGTGATTTATCTGGGATCATGTTCCTTCAAAGTTGAAGAAAATAATATTGGTTTTCTTGATACCTGTACTAGTATGTTTCCTCATACACTCTCTTTTCTGGCATTGCAATGACAAGTCTTGTTTTTTGAAAGCTTAAACAAAAAAGCAAGTTACTCGTGATTGCCTTGGGTGAAAACTTCTGTTTTAAGGTTTCAAATGTATATAAAATTATTAGATGCGTATAAGCTGAGGTAGGTGAAACAGACTTACACTTGAATATCTGAACCTCTTACCATGTTTGAACATGAGAATAAAAATTTTACATGTTCTGGAGTATTCTGTAAACACTGTAGAAATTATGAGGCTGCCATACTACTGTCTCTGACATGACATTTGCATTTACTTAAAGCCATTTAAACACTGTAAAGTATAATCAAATGATGATCATCGTCTTTTCTAAAGAAGCTTACAGCAGCTTTTAAAAACAGGTATGCTTTGACATCATTAAACTCCTATTGTTAAGTATTCTTCTAATCATGGTCTCTTTTTTTTTCACAGTATCACTGCAAAGCTTGAAAGAGCCTTAGAAAAGGTGGCCCCTCTCCTGCGAGAAATTTTTGTTGATTTTGCCCCCTTCCTGTCCCGAACATTGTTGGGCAGTCATGGACAAGAGCTGTTGATTGAAGGTACTGTTTCTCTTATATTATTTTAGCTATTAGTCATTTGACAAAAAATTTTTTGGTTTCACTAGATTTTATATAACTATTTTTGATAAATAAATGAATCAGTTGTTAATATGTTGTGATTTCACTTCCTGGCATTTAATTTTATTTAAAGAAATTAAAAGTGATAGCTTTTGTACTTCCCCACCACCCCCCCACCCCCCCCAAGTGAGGTGCTGTGTAAAGGATATGTCCTGTCATCTTGGAATGCAAAAAATGTGTCATAATTTGCTTTTTCCTCGTCAGAATAATTGTATTAGTGTAAGTTTTTCAGCCTGACTGAGAACCTAGTGAAAAATATAATTAAGAAGTATAATCAATTCCTGTGGAAGAAAGTAAATTGAAGACTATGCTCCAATATTACTGATATGTACAACTAGATTTGATATGGACAATATCTGCTCAGGTGGGTCAGTTGGATTCACATGGGCAGATAAAGAATGTCCCTAGAGGGGAATAGAAAGTGATGATTTTTAAAGTAAAGTATCCTTGAACACTTTCGAGGATTTTTATGGTGGTTTATGTGTTGTCTTTACTACTTCATAGTTACAAAATTGGGGCAAAATAATTAATCCTCATAAGTGAGGCAGTAAGTAATGGAGAAATTATGCAGAAATTGCAAATGCAGCAAGCTCATGCAGAAAGTAATGAATCAGTGCTAATGCAGTTAAAATAATGATGGGTAAATTTGTGTGAACATGCACTGATCCTACATCACATATCCAGAGAAACACACTCAGTCAAGTAAACTTTTTCTTTCCAGAATCATTTCTACACGCAATATTGCTGTTTAATGAGAGGTTTATGGTTGGACTTGAAGTTCTGAAAGGTCTTTTCCAACCTAAACAATTCTATGATTCTATGAAAAAATCTCATTAAGGCAAAGCTTATAACGTATTAAGTTCTACATAGAGAAAACACAGCTTTGTGTTCAAATTCCAAACCTTCTATTATGCATGTGCTTTATCTAAATATTAGCGTACAGTCTTTCTGTGGTCTTAGTTGTCATACACCACAACATTGGCCCTCTTTTATTCTTAATGCTAGAAATGTTTGCACCTTGTAACTGAAGTCTTCTAAATAGCCTTTTCCTTTTTTTGTCTAATTATTGTTTAATATTATTGTTTAATAATACCAAAAGTGGTGTAGTAGCTTAGTAATTCTCAGAAGCTTCAGGGTTTTTCTACTGTTTATTTTATAGCTGTGAGTAAATTGCAGTTCTCACATAATGACACCTGAAATCAATGGTCCGAGATTCTCATTGAGAACATTGAGATGGCTGTAAGATAAATATTTGATAGATTCCATTCGTAAGTCTCTTATTTCAGTGAAGTTGATATCAAAATTTGTAGCAGTGTTATCATTTTCTGCTTGACAAGTGATTGATTGTATTATAGATTTGTACAATACAAATAAAATTGTCTTGGTTTCACTGAAACTCTTTCATGGATTAAAAAAATGTTCTTCACCGATGCTGTTCTGACTTTGTCTTTTGGTCAGATTCATGGTGTGAACAAGACACCCAGTATCTGACAAAGACTGAAAAGCTAGGGGCCACAGGAACCTCACAACTATATGGCAGTATGGGTTTATCTCATTGCCTGTCCAGACAGACATGGTTTTGTTGGCTGTGTAATTCTTCCAATAGCCACTCGGACTCCTGTTCCAAATTTTGTCCCATCTGTGACTCAGCCATCCAATTCAGTTTTAAGAGTCATTGTTTATGAACCAAACACCAAGTTTCAAAATAAGTGCTGTCCTTCCCATCATTTTTCCTTGATGTTATGACTAACCTTATCTTCAATCACTGCATCATTTCTGATTTCTAAGAACTAGTCCTTTCTTCCCAAGAATACAATCTGTAAAGAAAAAAATTTAAACACAGTTTAGATTTTTTCATTGCATGCCTCAGAACTTGAATTTATGTTTTGTCCCTCTAAAATAGTTGGGCTTTTTTTCTTTTTAATGGAGATCTCAGCTGCTTTTATAGTCATTGTGTACTACTTCTCATCTTTTCCTTCTTCATTGCCTGTATGAGACCCTTGATCTCAACTAAACTGAATCCTTGCCTAGTTAAGTTCCCTTTAAATGGGAATTCTAGATTCTCTCCTAGTCCATTACCTGATTTACTTTGATAAATTTCCTGTCATTGTTTACTGGAAGCCAATGGTGGTCCTTGAAGTGCTTGAAAGGACTCTCCATGTAATGACTCTTCAAAACAGGGTTTTAGTGGCATGATTTAAGGTATGTGAGTGTGCAGAATTCCTGGGGGGCTTTGATAATTTAAACTTGATTTTTACTGTCAAACAGTAATTAGCTTGACAGTTTTATATGAAATAGTTTCATTTGTTGCTTTATGTTTAAAAGTTTTAGTTATAACAATTAAAAAGGAGCAAATAAACTTTATTTAATCAAGTCTGAAGGTGCTGTCTGTTTTTTGAATTGATTACCACAGAAGTATCTGTTGCATTCTCCAAAGCATGCCCTTTTCTTCTAACTATTCCAGCTTGAAACATAAAAATACCTTCCCTCCTCTTGCTGTCTTTCAAAATCTCCATATGGTATGAAGCCTTTCCCCTATCAGATTTTGCTAAAATCTGAGTAACTGAAAGCATTCTTGATGGTGTGTGCTTTTTTGAAGCACTCTCTTAGTGCTTTTGTGCATTCATGTGTGTAAGAATTACTAAATCGTTTCAGACTTAGTAAGAAAATCCACAGTTTCGTAGCTGAGGTGTTCTGTGCTGAAGAGAGAGCACTAAGGAAATGGGAACAGAAAAAAAAACCAACAAAAAAATCCAACCAACCAACCAAACAACCAACCAACCAAACAAACAAACAAAAAACCCAAAAAAAACCCACAACACCAAAACCACCAACCAAAATTAATACTTTTAAAACAGGTTAATTATGAAAACTTTCCAAAATATCTGATGCTTTGAGATATGTGTTGTTAATATATATTTGGAAATCTATATACGATTTACTTATGATTTCACCTTTTTGTCGTAGTTGAGCTGTCTGGAACTTTTAGTGAAAAATCTTGCAGTCATATCATGTCACCTCATGATATGAGCCTGTAGCATCATTCTGTCCCATGGAAGACTGACTGATTTATTCTTTGTGGAAATTGTATTTAACATCTAAGCGGTGGCTTCTTGACTCGAGTGGCGTTGAAATGAACTGGCTGCAATCATCTGGTCAGTCTAGACCAAAAACTTGACCACTCATACTCAAAAATGTTAATTTTTCATGTTTGTTTATGTAAATTCCAAAGTGACTGGTAGCAGAGGAGCTCTATCAAGTAGTAATCTGTCATTGCAGAACATATTTATAGGTAAAACTCTTAATCTGTTTGCTGACTGAAATAGTAGTCAGTTTTGCCGCCTTTTCCACAACCAGTTCTTTCTTCAGAAGTATCTTTCTAAGTTCCAAATATTTCAACTCCCCAGAGTGGCCATGATAGGTTAAAAAGGACTGATTTGCAATCAAATGCAAATAGTTTCAAACAGAATATACCAAAACCATCCCAACACTACTGTGGTTCATCAACTGAGGTTCTTTCAATGCCTCAGAGAACAGAAGTTGCAAAGGTTAAAACTGTCCGCATAGGATCTAATTGGAAACAAACATGCAATATGTGTAGGTCACATACTTAAGCTTAGCAATGCTGATTGTGGAGTTCCATTTAACACTTGCATGGGTATGTTTTCACTAACTCTAGTTTCCATATGGTCTGCAAATTGCCTCCATGTAAAGTGCATTGCAACATTCTAGCTTTTAGGTGAAAATGTTACAGGCAAGTGTAATCTGATCTGTATCCAAAAGAAAAGTTACATCCTCTTTTTGTCAAGCACAGATGGGTAAGAGTATTTTCACTACAGCTATTTTGGAGTGTCCTGAACTGTTACAATAGGTCCAGGATTGAAACACAGTCACATAAAATGCTTTCCCTTCTCTCCAGTGAGATACCAAATAAGTGTTACCAATGCTTTTAATTTTCCTGTGTCGGTACCTGGGTAGAAGGTCAGCCAGGTATCCTGGCTGTGGTGTACATTTGATATGTTTCTGATACATGCACAATTCAAATCAGATGAAACTGCTGATATGAGTAGAATCTGTGTCTCCTCATTAACTCACCACATAGCCCTATGGAAAGTAGAAGTGGTGATGTGGACTAGTTTTGTATGGTATTTAACAGGAGGCTTCTTGAAACAATTGAAAAATTGTCCAAAACATTCCTCTGGAAACCACAGGTAGACCTTGGCTGCTAAATGGCACTACGTGAAAACCTCCCAAAGACAAGTGTGACAGCACTGTGGCGTGTACCAATGCTAGCACAATTTGCTTCTGACTTCCTCAAACAATACCTAGTTTTGTGTTAGGAAGAACAGAGTAACCATTTTGCTGAGATAGAAGTCTGGAAATCCCTTAGACTTTATGGATAAGAAGGTACTTTTCGGTGCTTATCATGGCCCTTGGCTTTGTCTTAGAAACTTTTCAGAACCTCTGTATTATTTTTGTGCTCAGGAGCATAGGTGCTATAAAGTGGAGAGATTGCATGCTCTTGCAGAACTTTATTTTCCTTTTTGTATTGTTCTCTCATTCTTTTATCTCACTCTGTCACATCCAAATTATTTTTGTGTGTCCAGGCATGTTTTCTTTCAGCTAATCAGACTTTTGGTAATCACTTACCAGTCTGTAGCACAACATGTAGCCAGTGTTCTGAACAAAATCAATAAATGAATAAATATTAGCAAGTAAGAGAGAAAGGGAATTAAAAAAAAAAAAAAGTGTTATTATTTTTAAAATTTACATTAACTGAAATTATCAGCATACAAGTAAAACCTGAAGCTATTCATATTGCTGAAATTTCTATGAGCCACTTTTTGATCCTACTTTGATTTTTTTATTAATGGTCTTGATTATGGGGCAGAATTATTCCTGGCAAAGCTAAGTGCTTAGAA